CTTGGATGCGGTGATGCTGCCTATCTTACGAAATTATTTCATGAACATAACATATGGCGTCGTATTATATCTTATACGGGTGTTGATTTGTCGTCAGAAGCAATGAAAATTGGAGAAGAAAATATTAAACCAATGTTGAATAATGATGCAAAATTAACATACGTCAAACAAGACATGTCAACGTTTGCGGAAGGATGTAGCGATGGTTTTTATGATTGTATATTTTCATCTTTGGCTATACATCATTTACAAGATAATGAAAAAGAAAACCTTCTTCAGCAAATCAGGCGTATATTGAAACCAAATGGGTGTTTTATTATGGTTGATATTTGTTTACAAGAAGATGAAAATCGTAATGATTTTATACAAGATATTGCAACACATATTCGAAATGATTGGATCAAATTAGATTTTGAACAAATAACAAGTGTTATAAGTCATCTGGTCAGTTTTGATTTTCCAGCTAAACTATCCGTATGGAAAAAATGGGCTGAACAGCAAGATTTATTCAAAAATATCATATGCTTTGAAACACTCCGATTTTACAAGACCATTGTTATGGAATGTTAAACTAGTTAATAGCTTTTTTCTCTCGTACCAGCCAAGAAATTAAGTTAATCGACTGATGAACTTCACTTGGTTTTTTAAAGTACATATTTAATTGGTCGAAAATAAATTCCAATAATACATATAAAAATTTTTTGAGAAAAAAGTGTTAACTGTTATTTAGACAAATATTTTTGTTTTATTCAGGCAACAAAGAGAAAAGTCGAACAGAAACGACGTTTACACTATGGATCAGAATTTCCCCATAAAGGCTGAATGTATAAATTCTACACATTCACGTCGAAATATTAAACGAAAGAAGTAAGAAGAATGAAAGAGAAGGAGAAATGAAGAGTAAAGAAAAAGCAAAATGAAGTATGATGTTGTTGTTAAACATGGGCGCGAACGGTTCTGGTCCTGACTGGACTGGGATCGGGACGAGGCCCAAAAAAACTGGCTCTGTAAAAGTAAAACTTTCTTGTGGAATCTAATTCTAATGTTCAACTAAGTCTGTCAAAGTTTTTCTCTCTAGGTCGTAGAAAGCTCTTAATGCAGTACAGTAGCAAAAAGCCGCACTGAACATTTCGCCCGCGGCGAAAAATGTTTTCGTGTTCTATGGTCAAATTTTTCATCTAAATCAAATAATTTCTCCGGGATCGAGATCAAAAAGCCCGGTTTCACTCATCTCTAGTTCGTTGTAACTTACGTATAGAAAAAGAGGAAGACGGAACAATAATAATAATACTGACCGGATAAATAAAAAGACGGCGTGGCCAGCTAACGGTCCCCTTCACATCAGAAGGTTCGACTACAAAAATAAAGAAAACTGATTCGGCCATTTTAAAGAGCATGGTCGATAGTATATAGGACAAATGTCGAGCTTGTCTGAAAC